CGTTTCTTTCAAGTAAATAACACAACATCTCGCGTAACGTCAGCAACGAGATCTCGCACCTGCGATTTCAGGCCGTAGAATGTTGCTACGGCAACAACAAAAAAAATCTGACCAGAGTTTTTAAACGCTTGTTTTTGTTGAAGTTTTTTTTCTCACCCGGTTTGGCGGCGGCAATTCTTGCTGGGGCCTTTGCCTCGTCTACCGCCACAGTGTGTGACAGTGAAGACATGATTGACCAAGAGGAGGTTCAAGTTTCCTTCAGGTAGTAATGAAATCTAGAATGCTGTCATGGGAGGTTCAGAGCAGTTTCTGTCTCTGTGTGTGTTTGAACTGCTAATATTGAGTTTTGTATCTAATAATGAATTGGCTAAGCAGTCTGTGTGAGAATATTGAGTGATTATACTGAGTGTTTGAGCTAACAAAATTTAGCTAAGAAGCTAACAGGAGGATTTTGAGAACATACCAATTAGCTAATGAAATGCTGTATTCATCTGACAGTGTAACATCTTTTGATCTCTTCTCTCTCTCTCTCTCTCTCTCTCTCTCTCTTCTTAGTGTTGGTGAAGATCCAGTAAGAAGTGCTTCAGACGTTCATGATGAAACAGGCAGAGCAGAGACTCCTGGCTGCATGAAGAGACTGCGATCCAGTTGGCAACCTGTTTTGATTGCGATTTTGATGGTGGTGATTTTTGCTGTAACTGGCATCTTCTTTAGTAGGGTAAATGAAAAACAAAGCCTGGAAGCAAAATTACAGCATATGGAAGCAGAGATATTTGCTGCAAGGATCAACACAGATAAGCTGCAAAACGAAAACAATCAACTGAAGCAACTTCTGAACTCCACTTATCACAACTTCACCACTCTGACAGATGCGTATGATAGACTGAAGATGCTACTGAATGCCACTTTGCACAATGTTACCTTGGTGACAGTTGAAAAATCCCAACTGAACAAGCTCTTGCAGGAAAAATCCCAGTTGCAAGTGGAAAAGAAAGAGATGAACATGGTCCTAAATTCAACACAGCAGATCTGTAACCTTGTGAAACAGGAGAACACACAACTGAAGGCAGCCCTGAATAAATCATTGCATAACATCACAATGGCATCTGCAGAAAATGAAAAGTTGCAACTGCTGTTAAACAGTGAACAGCAAACCACTGAACAGCTAGAAGCAAAAAATCAACAACAGCGTTCAGTCTTGTTCTCCAATAGTCTGTCGTTTGTCTGGATGTTCTGCAACAATGACACACTGCAGTGTTCGCACTGCCTGCCTGGTTGGACCGAGCACGCTTCACGCTGTTTCCTTTTGTCACAAGATGCACAGAAATGGGAAAATGCTCGCAGGCACTGTCTTGACATGGGGGGTGACTTGGCTGTTGTTTTGAGTGCTGAAGACCAGGCATTTTTGACCAATATGACTTTTCAGTATACACAGCAGCACCCCGAGGTGAACTTCCATTCTGCTTGGATCGGGATGCAGGACATGGTGAGAGAGGGCACCCACGTCTGGGTCAATGGCAATAGCATTCAGCCAGATCTTATATACTGGAGGCCTTCAGAGCCAAACAATGCGATAGCCTCTTGGGATGTTGACAAGGCAGGACAGGACTGTGTTGCCATTGTGCCGCCGGACGAAATTGGTACTGAGGATTGGTTAAACTCCTGGGATGATATTGTTTGTCTCGGAGCACGACACTACATATGTGAAACCAAGGCTTTCATTTTGTCCTGACTGAAAGACCTGAGATGTAGTCTTCTTTCAGTAGAAATGTCCTGATGCATATGAGGTCTGGTTTACTATTTATGTGTACTGTGCTATATAAAAATCGTAGAATTGTTGCTCGAATGCCCCACCATGCACTTGAACTTGGACAAAAAAGGCTACAAACAAGTGAAACACAGCAACGCTCAACAGGCAACTTGACTACAAACAACTTTTAAGTCAGACTGTCCAGAGAACTAAATGTTTTAACTACGTCTGAATTCAAGTTGAAAAAAAGAAAAATAAAAGTTTTCATTTCCTGACTATTCTGATTTGGGCATCAGTAATGGAACACTGGCCAAATACAAACATTTCATAGTTGAGCTGGATTCTCTGTTGTGGAGTGCAATGTACACTTTTCACCACAGTAACATTAGCATATGCTGTAATCCAATGTGATCGAAAAGTGCAGATTAAGTTTAGTCTGACAACACAACAAACTACAATAACAGTTGTGTGAGAGAAATGATTTTATGTTCAAATTAAAATGCCTTTTTTTGTTGGTTAAGTGGTTGTTGGTTAAGTTTGGGGGTAGTCACAGAGGCCCTGGACCAGTATCATCAGCATTAAAGTTGGTCAAAGAAAAGAAGAATTTCACATAGGACCTGGAGCTGATCATCAGCATACATAAGAAAACAAATGACTAAAAGACATTAATATAAATAATAAGAAGAAAGATTAAACAACAGAAAAGCAAATTGAACATTATTTATCATTTTTACAGTTCCCTTACAAATTAAGGTAAAATAAGATAATACTTTATTGGTCCCTTTACAGAGAAATTGCTTTTACAGTTACATCCCGAGGGAGAACTGTCGGGTCAGCCAGCATGAACAGCGCCTCTTAAATTATTACTACTGTAGAGTCTTACCCTCAATATTTACTATAGTCAGGTGAAGTTGTATTTTGTATTTTAACATTTGAATTACTCCGGTTAATTCACATCCTAAATAACACCATATAGACTATATATGTAAACTTGTTCGGTCAACTGTTGTTGCTTTAAATGTGCAATATGAATAACACTGACTTAACGTGACATTTAGGGTAACACGGATGTAATTTCACCTCAATGTCATTATACACCAAGTTAAATCATAATTCTGTCATCATTTTGTTCTTGAGGTGCAGTGTCACACTTCGGCATTAAACATGTTTCATTAAACACAATTGATGTGTTATGATTTTAATAAGCCCATTACACTGCCCCCCTGCTGGGTTTTAAAAATACCTTTCAAAGAAACAACTCCCCCTGCCGGCCACCCACTGCAACTGCACACCGGCGGTTAGCCCACTGGCTCCACACAACAACACAAACGCCATCTTTAGCTGACAAGCAAAGTACCCGAAGCAGAGTTGTGGAGAGAAACTAGGTCAGGCGCTCGGAAAACCAGAAAACACTTTCGAAAACCTCGCTTCGTCAGCTTCCAGTCAGTGTTTGCTAACCTCCCGCCACGCCGTGCTGTCGTATGGTCCAATGTGTTTGATCGGTCGGCCAGCTCGAACGCAGTTTTCTTGTGTCGGTCCCGGTTGACGTTGATTGATCGCCTTTTACTAAATAGCCGACGGAGGTGAAAGCCAGGTGAGAGGAGGACGTGGTCGATAAATGCTGAAAACACACACTAAGTGTAGGAAATAAGCTGTTTAATTGTTCTCATTAACTGGCTACAACTTGCTAAGTAGTTAGCAAGAAGCAGCGTTTGGTTGGGCTAAGCTAACTCCTGGTTAGTGTGTTTATGTCGTAAACTGTGGTGTCACTAAACGTCGCTAGCATCGAGACATTTATGTGCATAAATGTGCATTTTAAGACAGTTTCAGCGAGCAGAAGCTAACTTTTAGCTTTTAAATGTTAACACCAGGCTGCTGTTTCAGTGGCGTTGGTAGAAGCAGGGGGAGGCGTGTCCTCTGTGGACAATGTTTTCATTTTCAAACGGGAAACACTGAGGAAACACATTTGGTTATTGACATAAGACTTTCACCCTGCAGGTTAATCAGCAGTGTTTCAGGTAGACCTAGGTAATACACACTACAGTGGCTCCTCAAGAATCTTTTTTTCATAGGGGTTGGCAGACAAATTTTAGGGGCTACTAAAAAATGATGACACAAAAAACTAAAAGTGAATTTCAGGACTTCTATCATGCTGTTGTGATACAGAGACTTATTAAATACTATGTTGGTACCAGGATTTGGGAATCATCATACTAGTAGGCTTTGGTTTCTTATTTTACAGTGATCGATGCTAATTAAATGATGTGCATACACAAGTACAAGTTAGAGCTGCTCTTGATTTTCATTGTCGATTAATAAATTAGTTGTTTTACATATTACAACAAAATGATGAAACGTGTTTCTCAAAAAAACAAGATAAAGTTGTCAAAGATTCCCAAAGATATTCAATTTACTGTCACATGAGAGTAAAGAAAGCAGGAAATGTTCACATTTAGGAAGCTAGAATCAGAGAATTTTGAGAAATTTACTCAACCCGATTAATAGATTGTCAAAATAGCTGGTGAATAATTAAATATTTGACAAGTAATCTATTAATCACGTTTTTATTTTTTTTACAGCTTTAATACAAGTAAAGTTTTTTTTTTTTTTTTTTTAATTACTTCTTTCAAAATAGCCATAGAGAAGAGATGCTGTGGTGTATTTGAGGGGGGAAAGGTTCACCCATGGTCATAGGAAAAACGTTTGTAGTTAATTTATAATACCAACAATGAAAAAGCTGTCTATGTGGTTTGAAAGTTTATCCAACAACAGCAACTTATGTTGCATTAAAATGTTGTTTTCAATATTACTCGGCTACCCACTGTTAAATTTTGTTAGTTTCTTTAAAGATTCATGTTCTTTACTGCATCCATATACAATTTAACGTCATTATTGCGGATATGCTGAAACAGAAAAATGTCCCTAATCGAAAAACTTGATATGACTGAGATTAATTTTTAGTTGAGTAAAGGATCAGACTGTTACAAAAAAAAGTCATATCCAGCTGTGATGGAGCTCAGGATGCAGTTGTGAAACAAATGAGTTATTTGTAGCTGACAAACTATGATTGTGTGTGTGGCAGGTCACCAGTATTAAATAAAGAAAAATACACACTGTCATTTACTGATGGATCCTGATTGATCCTGTCTCCATGATGGGGACCATTTATAATTATAAGTAATAAATAAAGTTACAGCTGTTCTGTCACATGCATACATGCACACAACTCTCTTGTAATGGAGATGCTCATATGGATCCTGCAGCTGTTTAATGCTGCAAGTGTTTATTGAACTCAGAAGACTTTTACAAACAGCTGGAAGTAACAGACTAAACTTCTTATCTTGTTAATGCCTTGTCAGAATTCTATTCATTGTTAATATAATCTGAGCTGACTCTGTCTTCATCACAGTAAAGTTTGAAAGTTTTTCCGACCACTTAATTTTGTAATAGGTGTTAAATTGTAGAACAAAGGCAAAGAAGGAAAACTCAGCAACCGCAAACTGTCTTGTGATTTTGAAAAGGTCTCTGTGTGCCTCTTGCCAGCTATAGGAATGCAAGCTGTGTCTTTTGCACTCTCTGCTGCTGTATTCGTCAGCTGTTAAAGCCATTCAGCGCTGCTTTTACTTGGACTTGGACACCGTAGTTGCATTCACTGAAACTTGGACATTAGAGTTTCAGTGAATGGACTTGACCTATCACATCTGGGTGTCCAGTGTCATACAGGGGTGGCTGTGCCCCCCCGGTTCCCCCATTGAAGTTGCCATTGTAAACATAGAATAACCACTCTGTTTTAAAACTGTGTTATTAAATACATCAATGTCATGTTTTCGTGCATAACAGGAAATAAACTAATTACATTTAAAGTTGGTGTTCTAAAATAATCTGCACAGAATTATTAGCATCCTTTCAGTATCGACCGAGACTGATATAAATATCAGAGAATGGTCAGATTCATAACAAATAGAAGCGGGAGTGGGCTGTTTGAATACAATCCTGTTATGCTGTGTTGTGATATTAATCTTTTAGTCATGTAGCAGATTTCTCTGGAAAATCAATTGAGAAACAATGAATATAATAACGAGACAGGAATGTCTATTTGTGGCTAATCCGGTGAAGTAAATAGACGTGGTCTAGCACAACTAAGAACAACAGTATACTATGAATTTGCAAAAATCTCTTGACACTTGACAAATGTGAATGTTCTCTTGGCACATAACGCCAGCCCTAGTTTACAGATGCTTTCTATATATTGTGTTTTGTTGTCTGCAGCTGATATTTGGTCAGTTTTGGTCACTTTTTCTCTTGTAAAAGTCAAATGTGCAAGAAGTAGCCCATATTGGTTTTTCAAACCACTTTGTTGCCTCGTAATAGGCTTGTCTGATTTTTATGTGTGTCTGCATTTGAGACAGAAGTCCTACAAAAGTTCTTATGGGTTAGACCGTTAGATCTGAATCATAGTAGTACATCACAATCCCTGTTTCAGCCACCACTGTCAGAGAAATCCTAGGTGTTCATTTCTTTGTCGTGTTAATTTTTGTAACAAATTGTCGTGCAAAATTATCACGTCATCGACAAGGACATCATGTGAATGTATTGTACATCCTGACTAGTCGCCCTAGTTGCTGTGGAGAGTAGGTGTTCATGAGGTATTTTTGCCATGTGTTAGACATTAAATAATTACTTTTGGGAGACTTAACGAGCGATAATTTAAGGAAACTATTTTGGTTGTGATTAAGTAATTTGCCAAATAAAAATAGCAACGGTTCTTGGTTTTAGCAGCTATCAGTATCACAGTGAAATGAATTTCTTTGATCATTTTTAATATGTCATAGCCTAAAAAATGAAACAATAAATAATTCATTGCCTAAGTGATAATGAAAATATTTGCCGCTCTGTGACCATGTATCAGCCCACCAGAAATGGACTGCAAGCTTCTTAATAATGGGATAAATGGGATGACATTCACACTGCCAAGCGTGTCAGGTAATTAAGAGTTAGTTCGGCCCAGTCATCTGGATGTTGTAAACTCCTCTTCTGTTTACACAGGATGAAACGAGGTCTCCAAGGGAATGAGCAGGAGGATGGAGGTGGCACCAGCGGCGGGTGTCAGAAGACTCTTAAACGGTCCCGCAAGCAGAGGCGGGAGAAGGATTTGGAAGAGGAGGGAGCCCATTGGGAGTGTCTGCCACAGGAGATTCTGCTCCACATCTTCCAGTACCTCCCTCTACTAGATAGAGCTTATGCTTCTCAGGTACCTGTATAATAACTTGGCATTTACTGCTACACTCAGTGGACAATATATGCCAGGAAGCGCTATTTATTGTTGCAACTAGTACTTTGTTATGAATAGTCTGACGGTGGCTTGTAAGGAATCACCAGTCACTACTGTTAGATAAAGACAGTCACACATCAGCTTGTACGTAGGCGCCATTTATTACAATGCATTTTAGAGACACTTTACATGTATAAACCTTGTTTTTGTTACTTTGCATACACATACCATTGCCATGAATATACTGAAATTGTTCCTTAGAGGTTCAGATTTTGCCTACTCTGCTTGTATTTTCAATGTTTCAGTGATTGAGCAGTAAAGGTCATCACTTGGTGCTTTAACTTGACTTCAACTGCAATACATAGTATGTAAAACAGGGAGAGTACAAACAGATTCAGACGAACTACATATTTCATAATGGAAGCACACGCATGCAGCCAATTGCCCTAAAATTCAGAAACTCTGCAATTATTAAACACCTCGACAAGAACAAAAAGTATTGCAGAGCAAACACTTCAGATAAAGAATTGATGGTAACATCAAAACACATTGCGATAAGCATGCATTTTTGTGCGTTGCTTCCGTCTATGTGTTATGTATCCATTTCCTGCTCGGAAACGATAATGCTTTTGCCACTTCTCTATTTAATTTCACACTCTTAGCTGACTCATAATAAAAAATGGGTGGAGCCAGACTCTCATTGCTTTTGTTTCTCCGTTTTTCTATGCATTTTTAAAGTCAGTCTTCCACATATACTGTTTGTTGTTTTGTTAATACCCTTTTTTATCTGATTACCTTAAACCAGATCATAGCAAATGCTGATTAAAAGTAACTAGTTGGCACTTCCAGATCAAACACATGCATTGACATGTTGGCACAAAACATAAAAAATGCAAGATTTTCATAACAGAGAGTGGGATTCATTGTATTGTTATTTCTTTTGATTATTTAACAATTCTAACTTAATAATGTAATTAATGAAACTTTCATTTGTTGCTAAACTTGCCAGCTTTCGCTTATCAGTGAACTAAGAGGAGATAAACAACAAATATACACTCATAGATGGTGTTTTCCTGTAACAGGAAGTCTTGCACTCTTGACATATGCTAAGGTGAAGGCCACTATGATTAAATACTTGTGTTTGTTCTTTCCTGTGTTTCAGCCTTCCTAAGGATTGAAAAAGTGTTTTTGACCACAGTGTTAAAAAATTGAGACACAACTGTGGTGGTATTACATAGGCTGACATTTTTTTTGTATCTGTCCTTTGTTAAGTCAGTTTTGTTGTTTGTTTCACCTCAGGTATGTCGGGGCTGGAACCAAGCTTTTCACATGCCAGAGTTGTGGCGGTGCTTCGAGTTTGAGTTGAACCAGCCAGCCAGCTCCTACCTGAAGGCCACACACCCAGACCTAATCAAACAGATAATCAAGAGACACTCCAACCACCTACAGTATGTCAGCTTCAAGGTATGAGCAAGAGGTTGTGGCCAGGGTGGCTGGAAAAGTGATAAAGAAAAGTTAACAGTGAAGTTGATTCCTGCTCTCTGTGTCAAGTGTCATTTTTCATATCCTGTCTGTGCTGTGCAGGTGGACAGCAGCAGAGAGTCTGCAGAAGCAGCGTGCGACATCCTCTCTCAGCTCGTGAATTGTTCTTTGAAAACCCTGGGGCTCATCTCCACCGCCAGGCCGAGCTTCATGGAGCTGCCCAAGGTAAGCCTCGGCAAAATAATTGTTTCTGTGCGCATTAATCTGCAAACAAAGCTTAGATACTGCATTTTTTTGACTTAATGTTATTATGGTAATACTACACAACTAAATTCATGTTTTCAGTACATTGGTGCATCTCAAACTAAGGGGGTTTTGGAGTGAAGACTGTCGAGAGGATTAATATAATTCATGTTGTGACTTAAACAAAGTAAAGTCTTCTGAAGTTTGCAAGGCAATCTTTTTTCTGATTTCAGACACATTAAACTTGGCTTGTTTTTTTAGTAGCTTCCCTGCTGTCAATAATGATTTTGATGTTGAGTGTGGCGGGGCATGAATTTTTTTTTTCAGCCTCTGAAGTGAAGCACAACCGAGTGCTCAAACGAGAGCTTTTCTGTATTGTAACATACTGAGGCGACGTGACAATTAACTAGTTTAAGCTATGATCTTTGATTAATTTCCGAGATGCTGCTGAGTTGATTAATGCCAAGTGCCTGTGGGAAGGTCTATAATTTAACATCTCCAACTTGTCAGCTTAAAATGTTGCACTCAGCTATTGTTTTCTTTGACAGTTAATCTTAGAAGACAAATCCTTCTACAAAGTGATGTGGCTGCACATTTGCATGGTTGTTGTTTTAATTCATGCTTATAATGCAAAGGTACCCTGTGGTGTTGTGATAGCTTGTGGTGTTGTGGACCTCTTTTGTATGAATCTTGTGCTTTACCAGACAAAGGTGATATGATAGGAATTTCTGCTAAATGCAGAGGGTGGTCATGCATATGTATCATGGAATTATACAGCAGTTGCAAGCTTTGTCTGCATGTTAAATTCCGCATTGTCTTAGTAAATAAAGCTAGCATTTAGAGCTACCATGTTTACTAAAGATTCCTTTCTTTTGCTCTATTTGACAGTCTCACTTCATCTCAGCACTGACAGTGGTCTTTGTCAACTCCAAATCTCTGTCCTCCCTGAAGATCGATGACACGCCAGTAGATGACCCCTCCCTCAAAGTCCTTGTGGCCAATAACAGCGACACACTCAAACTGCTGAAAATGAGCAGTTGCCCTCATGTTTCACCTGCAGGTACTGACAAATAGAACGGGTCATACATAATAGCAGTGTTGATGATTAATAACAACTCACTAATCATTATTAAGAATTTGATTGATCAAGAACAATTATAGCTGAGTTGGTGAAAGCTTTTGTACATCTGTGGAACGTCAGTTATCCCTTAGAGCAGTTTCATAAATCACTGTGGCAATAAAAATCAACAGTAAGTCTAAAACCTGCATTCTTCATCAGAGCTCCGCCTTAAGGCTGTGCAGATCTCCTAAGTTCTTTTTCCTCCATTTCAGGCATCCTGTGTGTGGCTGATCAGTGCCATGGCCTGAGAGAACTGGCTCTCAACTATCATTTGCTGAGTGACGAACTTCTCATCGCCCTCTCGTCAGAGAAGCACGTCCACCTCGATCACCTTCGCATTGACGTGGTTAGTGAAAATCCCGGCCAACAGTTCCACACCATCAAGAAGAGCAGCTGGGACGCCATGGTGCGGCACTCTCCTAAATTTAATCTGGTCATGTACTTCTTTCTCTACGAGGACGAGTTCGGCCCTTTCTTCCGCGATGAAATCCCCGCTACGCATTTGTACTTCGGCCGCTCCGTCAGCAAAGACGTGCTCGGCCGCGTTGGACTCACCTGCCCACGTCTGGTCGAGCTGGTAGTGTGCGCCAACGGGCTGCGACCGCTGGATGAAGAACTCATCCGCATCGCCCAGCGTTGCACGCAGCTGTCTGCCATCGGCTTGGGCGAGTGCGAAGTGTCCTGCAGCGCCTTTGTGGAGTTTGTTAAGATGTGCGGTGACAGACTGACACAGCTATCCATCATGGAGGAAGTACTGGTTCCAGATCACCGTTATGGGCTGGATGATATCCACTGGGAGGTGTCAAAGCATTTGGGTCGTGTCTGGTTCCCAGACATGATGCCTACATGGTAGCGCTCCGGGAGAAGGTATAGGTTTGTAGGAGTTTATCTTCATCTTTCTCATCTTTTGAGAAAGGCCTCTTTCTAGGCACAATTTGAACTCCCTGAATACATGAAGAAATTACATCAATTTGAGTTTTGAGTTGATAAAACACAAATTTGCTTTTAAAAACATTGATTTCAAGTGTGTTCCGTGTACATAATTTTTATATTTATATATATATTTATGTATCATTAGATTCATCTTATTTTTACTCATAACATCGAGCACCTTCTTCTCTTCAGCCCCTTTAAGGGCTGTAAAACCCTGCAGGCTGGTTATGTGTAGGGTTTCAGGATTATTCAGGGGTGGCACTTTTTCATGAGAATAAACAGGATTGTAGGAAAATTATTGAATATGAGTAAGAATTGTATTTTTTTTTAAATTTCACGTACGCAGGTTGTATGTACCACATCTGAATCTATTGCGATGCAGACAGCTAAATATAAACTTTGCCTTATCACAAGTAGGCATATATACAATTATTCTAATAGAAATCAGAAACTTTACAGTAATCAGTTTAATATAACTGCAATGACTTCACATATAGACATATTCAACAGATTGTCGTCACAACTCTGAATGTGCAATGTATTCGAAGTCAAGCCGTTTGGTAATTTATAAAAAATAGACTTTGTGTAATATAAAAATGTACAGTACAAACATTAGATGGGGATGATTGCCATTATAAGCTAATATGTTTGTTTATATTCAGTTAAAATCACCAAAATTTTCATTCTAATGGAAGGTTTCTGAAGTTTTCTGACACTTATAACTAAAGTAATAACAAATTATGACTGTACAAGAATATAAAACATTTCATTGTAAAGGGACGGTCTACATGTGGAGCTTGTTAAAGATTGGGTCATGTGACTGTGGTCAGGGAGGCAGTCGCACATACAGATTCCAGCTGAACACATACGTTTTTGTTTGGTTTTCGTTTCTGTGTGTCATCCACTTCCAGCGTCCGTCATTGTGTCACTACTTCATGTCTTTGAATGTGTTCTAAGTCACTGCATCTTATGTCGAAAAGTAGAACTGCCTCTTCCCCTGTCCTCTGCTAGATTCGGACAAGGACAGGGTTTTTTCTGCATAGTTCTATATTCTTTAGTCAATTTTGTTGATTGGGGCTTCATTTACTAAAGCATAATAGGCACTGCTGTTTATTAAATAGTCAGAAATAACAGGAAAATGCATAAGTTTCGGTCCAATAAAGTAACTTAGACACACTGCTAGGCCGAGCAAGCTTACCGTGGTGCATGGTCACCTTTCAAAGGCTCATTCTGAGCTGGAAGAAACCCTGAAGGATGAAGGCAGTTCTATCTCAGCTTTTCTAATAACAGATACTCGTGAAGGCGGAGCTCTCAAGTGACTTATCTCAGTCTGTATAAACTGTATAATGTGTGTAATGTACAGTAGTTCTGTTCTGGCATTGCCTGTCCCATAGTCCCATTGTAAATATCAAAATGTTATATTTAAAAATGATTGGAAGGGAGAAATTCTAATCGTGGACGTCATATATTAATACATTTAATGAATGCTTTTTGATGCACTTTTATTTTAATGAAGGTCCCAAGTTTAGCCAGTTGAGCTTCTGTGTCATTGGGGTGTGAAATTAACAGATTTTGCAGCCAAGTGCAGTGGTCTGTAAGTCAGCCAGCGCTATGAGTCGCTCTTGTTAGTTAAATTGCTTTTATGGGGTTATTTTCTGTTTTTTACAAACATTTTAGTTTCTAATAACTTTGAGGTGGAGTTGTTTAATTACTGTCAGTTGACAAAAACTCTATTCTGTGTAACCAAACCTGCTTGACAGCACAATCATTTACCATGTTGATATTCTATATTAAAATATTTTTTCCCAGGAAAGATATATTCTGGCTGAGAGTTTATAAAGCTAAATTTCTAGTTAAAAGGTGCATTTGCTGTTAAAAAATGACCGTTTTCAATGTAAACACATCAGAGAAGTGACCCACATTTTTAAATTGGATTTTCTGTCTTTAGGAAAACAAATTCTTTATGTGATTTTTAGCCCAAATTATATAATTTGGATTTACTTTCTGAGACAGGGCTGCACAGTTATGACCAGTGGGTTTCTCAGGCTGTCATACAGAAACAATTGGATTACAAAAATGGGAATGTATACAAATTAAACACATGGTGGTTTGAGATCAAATTTGTCTTTTGCTTAAAAACATGAACTCCCATGTCATCCAGTTACTCTATTGCGCATTTGGATGTCACAACTGTTGTAATTTATTAGATAAAAATACAACACTCGTGATCTTAATGAGGTAGTTGTGCAGCTCTGCAGACGGTGTGGCAGCTGAATGTTGATGAAACTGAATGTGTTTGCAAGAAATATTTATGTTTCACTATTGTTTTGTGGCAGTGGAGTGATATAATTGTAACTGAAAGATGTCTTAAGGTGGACTTTGTGAAGATGTGGCCTGTGGATTTGCTGAAAGATAACATATTTGGGCTGTGCAATGAGAACTGCTAATCATTTTGTTCAGTTTAAAATCAATAGTTGGTTTACAGGTTTGGTATTCGTCCTTTTTTGTGCATTTTGTTTGCAAATGTTTATTGAAAAAAAAAAAAATCACTACTTCTGTTCTTCTGCCCTGCAAAAGGGGGCAAACATTGTCTTAATTTTTCTGTTCCTGGATGTCAGCTAGACCTGGCAGTGGACTATCTTTTACGGACATACAGTACATTTTACTGTATATTTATAAAAACATGCCATCTGCTGGTTAATATTTACTGCATTTGTATTCAGCGCTTCAACAGGATTATTGTAGTATCCAAGGATAGGCCGAGTAAGGGGTGCAGTTTCTTTATAGAGACGACAGTGCCGGTGTGTTGTTTTTATTCGAGCTAAATAAAGCTGCATTGTACTGAGAAGTTTTATTGGAAGGTGACTCGTACTTTCCCCAAAGATATGTAATATTTGAGTAAAGTTCATAGCCACATTAAAAATGCCTGTTTGAAAATGTACGTTGTGTCTGAACTGTAAAAAAAAAAAAACAACAAAAGAAAAAAACGGTGCTGCTTTAATTATCGTCACTTTAATTAGTTCAATCTGTCTGTTCTGAGATGCTCCACAAAGTTTAGTAATGAATTTAGTAAAATAGTCTCATAAACTGTTGAAGGGAGTTAAAAAACATCAAATTAGACATTAATTCGGTTTTCACACCCTCAGCACTTGTTCAACAGTCGACCGGTATTTGTACAAAAGGTTCTTTTTCAACAAGGCTATTAGATAGGGAGATAAATAGATAGATAGAGCAGGAGAAGAAGTTCACATGCACAACACATAATTAGGGTCAGTGAAGCTCACAAAAGGTGACAACACACAACAACCATATTGTGCTGCAATTAATGTGTGTTTCATGAGAAATAAGATCAGTAGCATTAGAATTTTGTCAGAGAATTAGACAAAAAACTTGTTTTTCTTCCAAGTCTTGCAGTCTCTTTATCAGTAGATGCCCTCACATGTGACCTTGCATTGAGATTGATTTTTTTTTTTTACTTTAAGGTCAAGATTGCTTTCTTTTTCAATTCAGGCTTTATATACAGTGTATGAGAGCTTTCTGCCAGCTGTGGAACTGCACTTGCAATTACAAAACCTATAATAGCCTAAAAAATACAACTTGGTCCTGTTTGAATTTGTCTGAGTGTCCTTCTCTTGGAAATTTTTTCTTGGAAATTTTTTTCTTGGAATTCACTTAATGTCCTATATTCTGATGATTTTCTTCTACTTCTTTACAGTAATAATAATAATGATAGCCTTTTTTGTCTCCCATTTTTGGGTGAAATGTTTATATATGTACAAAACAAAAGAACAACAATACAGAATTCAGGCACCAGGTGACAGTTCAAAATAAAATGTAATATATTATAATGACTTAATATTATCCCTGCTGAGGCAACACACATGTTGGATAGATTTACTTTTGTGTCTTCTTTTTGTATCACTTGTTTGGAGAAATAACACTAATTTTTAATTAACTTCTAAACCCCTGAACTTCAGTAGTTTCAGCAAGATTTCTGCTCCAAACCTTCTTTATTTAAATCACACATAATTATTGTGACTATACATATGCATTGCAATGGTTTTGCAAAATTCAGGTCCTTTGCTTCTTTTATGTGTCCGTTGAGGGGGGTATATCCCCTGCACCTATGCTTCTCTGTGATGCTTTTATAGCACGCTAAGCCTTGTCCTTATTCTCTGCACTATATTCATCAATTTGCAAATAATCTTATGTCTAATGTGCAAATGCTATAAGTTCACAATAAGAAATGGGATGCATTGTGAGTTGTCTCATTTTAAATTTGCCATGTAAGCCTGTTGAATCAGTTCGATTATACTGAGGAAATTGGGGGGGGGAAGGAATAGTGTGTATTACAATACGAGTAAATTTTATTTACACAGCACTTACCTCCAAGCGGAATGCTTTTCAAGCAGGTACATAAACAACAGTAAACATGAGGACATAAAAGCAGACACAAGCAGGAGAGGACACATTCAAATAATAGCTCCATTAAACGAAATCTGATAAAAGGCATAACTTGGGGTGCTGTCTCCCCTTTCCAAGCACAGCTAATTAAATTTTTAGGTCTCAGGATTTAAAAGGACAATAAGTGATATTTTTTTCCAACGGTAAAACATGCTGCCAGCACTTCACTGCTGATGAAGTCAGATTGCTAGCGTTACTCAAAAAGCGCAGTTTGGGAAGTTTTATGAAGATTGTTGGCCATCCACATTTTTACAGGCCTTGCATTTACAGGAACATTCTCGTCTTTATTTCTGCTCAAAATGGCCTTTCGGCTGTTTGGAAAGCTCTCTCTATATTTTTGTGTTAATTTGGAGTTTGCTGTAAAACTGCACCAAAACCATTGTTGGAACATCACACCCGAAAGCAAGTGGTAATTTAGCAGCCTTGTCCACGAGCGCTACTGGTTGAGATGTTATGAGGAAAAGAGGGATGCTTCTTTAATCCTTCATGTCTTTTGTTACATACTTTGCAATGACAAAGTTTCATTTATATTCTCTACACAACCCCAAGCAGGGGATTTTACTCGTGATTATTTAGGCCTCTTATGGGACTGCATTAATGTGATTATTTAAATAGATTATATTTTACAAGGTGCAGGGTGGCGCAGTTGGTTAGCACCGTTTCCTCGCAGCAAGAAGGTTGCCGGTTCACGTCCCGGTAGGGGCACTGGGATCTTTCTGCGTGGAGTTTGCATGTTCTCCCTGTGCAGTATGGGTTTTCTCCAGCTTCCTCCCACACAGTCCAAAAACATGCTGAGGTTAATTGGTGATTCTAAATTGTCTGTATGTGTGAATGTGAGTGTGCTTGGTTGTCTGTCTCTAAGTGTAGCCCTGTGATAGACTGGTGACCTGTCCAGGGTGTCCCCTGCCTTTGCCCTAAGTCGGCTGGGATAGACTCCAGCCCCCCTGCGACCCTAGTGAGGATTAAGCGGTGTATAGAAAATGGATGGATGGATGTTTTACAGACATTTTTATCTGCTTTTTTGTCAACCATGTCCTTTTTTTAAATTGCATTTCAGTTTGGCAAGTTATGCCATTTCAGTTGATTTAAGTATAAGAAAAATTATTTTAAGTTCCGTTTAATTGACTTGACACACCTACTTTATTTAAAAATGTGATATATGGCTGTACATAAACCCCTTTAATGTATATGATAGGATGTTAGTTGCTAATAGAAGTTTTGGATGAACCTTACCCATATATTCAACATAAATATATATATTTACCACCAATGGCTACATAAGTTACTGTATGAACTATAAATTACTGATTTTAAAAAACCAACATCACATCACCCCAATCCTTACCTCCCTCCACTGTCAACCTGTTCTTTCAGAATTGATTTTAAGATTTTATTAATCACAGGGTCTGACTTCAAGTAATACAAGAGAAATATTGACTTTTGCTGCCTCAGATTCTCAAGTGGGGCCCTTCTGATGGTATCCAAAGTCGAGGCTTAAATCGAAGGGTGTTATCGCATATTTGGTGCTTTTATTCTTTTAATTGTGTCAGCTGATGTTTGTTCTATGATTTTTTTTTATATTGAAATTCTGTGGATCGTTTATTATTATTATTTTTTGTTATACTGTGTCTTTTACCTCTTTTTCTCTGCTTTTTGCTTCTCTTGTCTGTTTTCCTCTGTTTGGCCTGACTCACTGACTCACTGAAGAATTTTGTAAACTTTGTTTTTAAAAGGTGCTACATAAAAAAGGCATATTCTTCTTCTTCTTATTATTAATAATACTTATAATAATAATAATAATAATAATAATAATAATAATAATAATAATAATAATAATAACGTCAACATATCAGCCATACATGCCCATACATCACACTTTTGCAAAAGTTGCTCGATACATCTCCAGTTTAGTGTGCAGATGAACAGAGATGATGATGATGATGATGATGATGATGACGATGATAAACTTCACACACTCCCAGGGGGGAAGGACAGAAGCCGCTGCCAGCTCAGACACGCTGGAGCTCAGCTAGCAGGGAGGGGACGACACGGCGGCACAGGACGGGTCTGCGGTACCCAGAAAACTTCGGCAACAGTGACAGGAGCGAGCACCTTGATTTATTAGCTACGTTTCTTACACTGTCGTGCTAAGAGGTGATGCTGGGGGTGGCAGGAATGACGGGCAGGTAAGACGTTTTAGTCGCAAGCGTCAACAACCACCTAACTTCAGTGAGGTTAAATGGTCAGCTAGCTCTGGGAGCTAAAGCTAACGTCATATTAGCCTGCTAACGTAGCTATTCACAGGGGTAAAGTTAGCTTCGCCGCTACGTTAGAAGAGATGCCCGTCTTAAAATGCTTAAATTGTTAGTGTCTGTACGTATTTTAGTGCAAGGCAAAAGCTGAAATGTTGTTCTACAGACAACTGGTTTAGATAGAGATAGTTCCCCAGCCAAATACTGTTGATATTCTTCTCACATTGAAGCTAGTTGTACTGTTAGCATGCTAGTTAGGTAGCTGGTTGGTAAGTTGGCTAAGTAATGAAATTAACCTTTTAATTCTCAGCATTATCTAAATTATTGTTGCTCACATGTTTATTGTTAATGTCCTGTATGCGTTTTGGGGTATGACAAAGATTTATTCGAAGTTATTTAAGGACAGCAGCTAATTCCTTTTACTGGAAAAAACATTAACCAAACTCCAACAATAATTTAATTTAAATTAGCTTCAGCCATTGCAGTTAAAAGTTAACTCAATTTCAACGTCTTCGGGTTCAACAGAAAGCCTCAGTCATCATTGGCTCTGAGTGTTACTGGATTACCAACAGAAAGTTTTGACATGGTATTGAGCTGTATATTTAGAACAGATTATCACAGCCCGAGTCAGTTTAATAGCAAGTTTGTGTTTGTATGTATGAATATCTGTGTGGGAAAGGATGCGGCCAAAGCTCAGCACCTCCATTCCTTTTACCAAGTTAGGTGATGGCTTTGCAGTGAGCAACGGTGTTAGTGAGTTCATATATTATTTCCATTCTCCAGCGTGACAGCTGTTGAAACAAGCTCAGCAGTTGATGTAGGAGTTATGTGAGATATGATAAACATTGGTCCAAACATGTCTCAAAGTTATTTGTCAGCTCCACATGTCGGGGGACTATGGGGAAGTAAAGTACTAATATGTATTTTGTTGTTGTCTCATGCAACAGCATTGCTAATGCCCTGGCCAACGCAGCCTGTGAGAGATGCAAGAGTGGCTTTGCTGCGACCGAGAAGATAGTCAATAGTAATGGAGAACTGTACCATGAGCATTGCTTTGTGTGTGCCCAGTGTTTCCAGCAGTTTCCAGAGGGACTTTTCTATGAGGTAGTGCACTCAGATGTTTTATATTTATTTATTTATTTGATCAGGGACCATGCATTTTTACATAGAAAACATCTAATGTATTGCATAGAGAGTGTATAACATTAAGCTAATTTTCCACTCCTGCACCACTCACTGTGTTTCACTTCACAAGTCAACACAATGATGAGTCATGCTTTGTGTACTGCATGTGTGTTGATGATCTGTCTGGTTTTATATAACAAATGTTCTGAATGTTTCTCCTTACAGTTTGAAGGCAGAAAATATTGTGAACATGACTTCCAGATGCTCTTTGCTCCTTGCTGTCACCAGTGTGGTAAGTCTTACAGGCCCTGAAGTGGTAATGTAGTTCCTTCTCATCTCACACTGGACAGAAGCAGCACAGGAAAATGATCTTATGCACTTAGTGATACAGCTAGCGGAGGTGCTTGTTTTAGCCCTGTGGAACTTGGCATTGGTATATCTGCCAGGCTTGGTAACTTTGTACAAAGCAAATTAAATTATTAATTAAGCATTCATTTAAACAATGCTGTCATGATACACCATTTTTTTGGCTGCTCACCCGTGTCTTATAAGGACATATCGACTCAGCAGCCCTTCACGAACATGCTTTGCCGCAGTGTATTCGAAAGCATTCAACCTTTACCATACCTCCTGTTGTAAAACCCTCCTGTTTCGATATAAGCATCTCTATGAGTTGTTTGAGAGATCAGATCCCAGTGTATCCTTACTGAACCCTATTTATTCTTTAATTTAAAACTTCCCACTTGTGTTTAGGTCACCCTAGATGCCTTTTAGTGCATCTTGGGTGCATCTCTTAAGCTTAATTTAAATACTGCTTGACTGTGTCCGGGGAGAGACAGATATGCTCTAATTAAATTAAATGGATGATTAAATTGCATTCAACATTAGTCTTCTATTAAGTATCACTAAGAGAACAATACAGAAAGCAATATAGTACATTGTAGGAAAACTGGACAGTGGAGCACTCATTAGAAACTTCAGTACAATAGCCAAAATGTAAGATGTAAAGTGGTCCCAACATATATTGGAGAAGTCAAACTTGGACTTGACTGAAGCTGATCTCTCACTTATGGTTTCCCCCAGGAGAGTTCATCATCGGTCGTGTCATTAAGGCCATGAACAATAGTTGGCACCCTGACTGCTTTTGCTGTGACATTTGCCAGGCTGTGCTTGCAGATGTGGGGTTTGTCAAAAACGCTGGCAGGTAAGTATCCCATCTTATTACAGTCTTAATATAACTCTGTGACAGCTTGTAAAACAGGTGGTTACACACGTCAAGCTGCTGACTGACTCACTTTTGCATTCTAACAAATGATAGAATTTTTAGCAGCTGTGATGGAGTGAGTCTGAATGTTATTTGAGGCTGCAGAATCTTTTTTGACACCCCAATTTTTTCTCTCTCCGCCACTTACCTCAGGCACCTGTGTCGCCCATGCCACAACCGTGAGAAAGCCCGTGGCCTGGGCAAGTATATCTGCCAGAAGTGCCATGCCATCATTGAAGAGCAACCACTAATCTTTAAGAATGATCCCTATCACCCAGACCACTTCAACTGCAGCAACTGTGGGTCAGTCTTACCACTCCACACTATTGTTTAGTATAGATCCATGAACTTAAGCATATATCAAAGATCCGCATAACAAATACTTGTGTCTCTGTCATTGTTTAATGTGTTTCAATGTTCGTCTGTCCTCAGGAAAGAATTGACGGCTGAAGCCAGGGAACTGAAGGGAGAGCTTTTCTGTTTGCCCTGTCACGACAAGATGGGTGTACCAATCTGTGGTGCCTGCAGGAGACCTATCGAAGGGCGTGTTGTCAATGCAATGGGCAAGCAGTGGCATGTGGAGGTTTGTGAACAAGAATTATATTTATCAATACACAACATACAATCCATGCATTTTTCAAAGTAATCTGTATCATGTTGCAGTTTTGCTGTGTACATTATAGATTATCTCAGGAGTTTGTTTTTCCAGAAGAAAGCTAAGGCCTTTCAGAGTTTGTTTTAGGAATCATGGCCATATTTCCTGCATACATGATTTGATATTTGTTTGGGAAAAAAGTAAGGAAATGCTGTGTAGTTTTTTTTTTTTTTTTTCTTTTTTTTCTGTAGTTTGATGAAAAAGAAAACTCAAGTGTAATTGATGTCTAATCTGTACATTTTCTAATGTCCAAATTCATAAAAAGAAGTACACAAAAGATACGAAAACTAAAGTCAAAATCATATGGCAGTGATTCAGGCAAAACAGTGTAACAAGTGTGCAGTAAAAACTGGCATTGTAAGTTGAATTACAGGGAGTAGGCTTCAAACAGACTCCTGACAGATTAATAATAGTGGACAAACTTCACACAAACCACCTTTTTATAGTTCATAATATATGTAATACAGCCTTCACACAAAGGAAGAATAAAAATCTTTTATGAATTTCACATTTAGTTACCATTACTTATGCACAAGGAAATTAGATTCATTAAATAAACCAATTTAGAACCAAAGCACTGAAAATGAGCTCATTTGAGTCCACAGAGAGATGTGAGCACTTTTTAAGAGATTATTTCTCCTGAGGCAGAGCTCAGCAGATCAAACTGTGTGTGTTCCTCTGTCTGGAGGCTGCTGAGTTTTGTACTGTTCAAAAAGCTCAAAACTATCAACCGTGCATAGCAGTCAATTTAATGCTGAAGATGGTAATTAGCTCAAATTAATTTTGCATCTCCCCACTTCAGGAATTATTTTTGGCAAGCACCAGAAAAGTAACTATTTTAAAAACACTTTGGGCACAACACCAGTGGATCGTTTCTCCATAGCACTGGAGGCTAAATGTGATTTGAAAACAAACAAACAAACAAAAAAAAACCACTGTAGGATTTCTTCAGTATTCATACAGTGAAGTTTTCTCCAGTGTCAGGACTGAAACTTTCATAACTTGTCTAGATCAGTAAATATATTCATGTAATACTCATGTAATATTCATGTTTCGCACTATTATATAAAAAAAAAGTCGGTACCCTCCGCATGTGTGTTGACACCTGCTCTAGTCAGTTTCACATGCCTTCGTTAGGGGTTTAGTCAGAGGTCCCTCTTTCCCTCAGCAGCATTTGTTTTTGTTTACAGCATTTTGTGTGTGCCAAGTGCGAGAAGCCATTCCTTGGTCATCGCCATTATGAGAGGAAGGGGCTGGCTTACTGTGAGACTCATTATAACCAGGTAAGAAAGCCAAGTAAAGTAATGGCATTGAGGACATGACTGTCATCACAATATTAATATAGTCTCAAAAATATGGCACAGTCCTACTAAACCCTTATTACTTTGCCAAATAAAAGAATTTGTGTTTGCTGGATAAACGCGTAATCTTCTTGTTTCCCTCTTCTCAAGCTCTTCGGTGATGTGTGCTATCACTGCAACCGTGTGATTGAAGGCGATGGTGAGTATCAGAGTGATAAAGCTCATAATCAGTATGGTGTTTTCAGTGATTTACACAAAGTGTCTCTTGAAGATACAGCAGTTGAATGTTGAATGTAATGTCCCTCTTTTTTTTTTTCCCCCTTCTTCTTCTGTGACCCACCTTCAGTTGTGTCTGCACTGAACAAGGCCTGGTGTGTCACTTGTTTCTCGTGCTCCACCTGCAACACTAAACTCACTCTGAAGTAAGTCATACTGCTTGTTATAGTTTCTTTTACTCACTAATGACTTGATATACTACCAGCTGGCCTCTGTTTTCTCGAACACTCCTACTTTGAGTCTTAACCCTTCTATGTGTATTTCACTCTCTTCTGACAACTCTTCCCTCTTGGCTCTTTTTCTTTTCCTACCTTTCCTCCATTTTCTCCTCTTACATGCTTCACTTTCCGCGTCTATGGTAACTCAGAGATAAGTTTGTTGAAATTGACCTGAGGCCAGTGTGCAAGCACTGTTATGAGCGCATGCCTGAGGAGCTGAAACGCCGCCTGGCCCGACGTGAGCGTGATGCCAAAGACCGCAAGAAAAAGCCCGCTGTCTGTTTGTAGACTTATTACTTACAACTCACGACTCCATCCGCTGGTTGGTGCTATCTCTGCCTTCCTCTTTGTCTGTAGTGTTCCATGTTTACTCCTTTGACAGTGTGGCATGTCATTATTTCTCATTTATTTTTTGAAGTAAAACCCCAAACCATGCAGTTGTTTTGTGGTAATGCTGTTTGTGTATAAACCCACAAGCATACATGAATATTGAATATGAATTTGGCTCCACTGATGCATTTGAGTAGGGCAGTTGCTAAGGAATAGTTTCATTATCAATTTATCTTCTGATTGTTATTAATTTATCAGTTGTTGTGTCTATAAAAGAAAGAAAAGAGTCCAAGGTGGTGTGTTCAAATGTTTGTTTAATCCAATCAACAGTCCCACTGCACAGAGATTTCAGTGCTTCTATTCCTTTTTTTTTTTCTTTGCAGGAACAAGTTTGTTGAGTTTGACATGAAGCCTGTTTGTAAAAAGTGTTATGAGAAGTTTCCTCTTGAGCTCAAGAAAAGGCTCAAGAAGCTGGCAGAGTCTTTGGGACGCAAGTGAGCTGCTTCAGGACAAACAACCTGGAAGTATTCCTGCTATGTCTGTGATGGTAAAACTCCCAGGGAACTGCTGCATTACAACATAAGAGGCTGGTGTTACACCAGTACATCAATATAAAAAATGTAAGTCTGGGATCCCTTTAAAACAAATATAAATATATACCACTGTGTCTTGTGATAAACATAAACTGTTAGCTGATTTTTTTTTTCCCCTTGCTGTTGTTTTTTTTTATATATATATATGCAAATGTCTTTTTTAAATACATTCCTAAAAGGTCCTAATTAGTTTTCTCTCCAATTCAAGACATGTGAGATTCCAGTTGATTATGCTTTACCATGACTGTAATAGTTATGTGTGAAACTTGAATTTGAAAAAGATTGATTGTTGGCATTATTTTTAATTACACCTGTGCCTTGAGAATATGAACTATGTGTATTAAAATAATACAGTTATGCCTTAGTTATCTATCTTAATAAGACAGAGTATCTACTGAAAGCAGAATTTTATTAAACTTTTCACCTTGAGCTTTCATACCTCAGTATGAGCAATTATAAAGCAACCACTGTGTTCTTAAGGGTATTGTAATGGTGCCTCTTTCGGAGAATGGGATGAAAAAAAAACATGTCTCAAGGAGAACGTAAAATGAGCCAGTATTGTGAGCATCTACAAACTGTTATGTGTTAATTAAACTATACTTGGATGTACAGTGACGCATGTTAGAAGTATCTATATAACTAAGTTCTGGTGCCTACTGATCAGCCTTACAGGACAGATTAAATTCCACAGGTAATTATTTTATCTAAAGAACTGCTGCGTGACTACAGCTGGGCCACTGGTTAGGCAGAAACTGTGACATTAGAGACGGTACTATGTTTAAGTGACTGTAAAATCCTGGTCTTATCTTTTAAAATAGTCTGTTGGTGTAAAGGTGTTTGGTATGCTTTCTGTGTATATGGTACTGTAATATTACTGCTTGTACTATAAATGCCTGGGGTTTGCTAGTCTGATATTTTCAGCCAAATTAACATTTGCATCTTTCTGAGGAAAAACAGTTCAAAAGGAATCTGGATTAAACGAACCTTCCTCTGATTATTTAACAGTAAAAACGCTTTGATGGTAAAAGTATTGCTAATGAGTCAGCGCATTGCTTGGGTTATTTGTAAACTGGCGAATGTGTTTAGAAAAAAAAAAAGTGCCTGACACAAGAAAAGATATATATTTGTTTTGATGAGCATTTTATTATGGAATACTTTTGCATATACATTTATTTTGTCAGTTTACATTTTATTGAATTGCATGAACTGGAGAATGACAGTTTACTGCAACACATACACTGTTTAGCTCCCTGCTTGAATGATCAATAAAATATTCCTGAACCCATCATAGTGAACGTAGCACGTTAATGCCTGTTGAGATTCTAAAAAGATGCAGTGCAACCATATGAGAATTTCCACAATCCACCCATTCAGTTAATAAATTACACCAACTTCATGAAAGAGTTCTTAGAAGCTGTAGCATGGATTCATACTGTTAAATACAGGCACGTCACATGCCTCATTTGCAACATTCACAGATGGCAGAATATAGTCAGTAGAAGTTCCAATACGTGCTAAACAAAAAGAAACCAGCCTAGACAATAACAAAAATGTAATGTGTAAATCCTGCAGTTCCAATGTGGTGTAAGAGGCATTGATACTGACAGAAAACAAAGCCTGTATATCTTAGGAAATATGTGTGTGTCTATATATGTTCTAGACCATTTTATAGCAGCTGGTAACAATAGCTGCTCTGCATGTTTTCTCCCTGAAGTAGCTAAATGGAATTCAGCCATCAGCGCTTTGCCTGCTGTGGCACGTCAAGCTATCTGCTGTGAAACAAGCCAGCGGGAATGCGACATCTAAGTAACACGCTAGCTTGCATTGTTGGGATAGTACCTCTTGCGTTAACATTATGCGTGTGATAGTAATTTAACACAGCTACAGGAGATTGAATATTTTAATTTCTAAGTAATGTCTAGCAAGCATTTAACAAGAAGAGTTCATGTTTAATAGACTGATGCACTCAATTATTACTCAACTAATGCGTTCCTAATTATAATATGAAGCATGAAAGACTACATGATTTATCACAAGCTCCTGTGGCAGAACAAAGCCTGTGTGATTGATTTACACTTGAATGAACTCCTTCATGAATGTAACCCGTACATTACTTAAAATGTCTTGAGAATAGCTGTAAACCAGTTGCATTCACAAATGCTGAGACCAGCGCATTCGGTAAAGTCTCAACAGCACCAACTATGTAGCTTCCTGGTCAGCTTTCATCAGCCATGACTTCATAGTGTCCTTCAATGTAGTTTATTTATGCATTAGCTGATTAAAACAGAAAACTTGGGCATTGAGAGGAGTGTGATAAACTTTCCAGTTTAGTCAGACTACTCATTCCAACTATAGCTTGAGACAAAACAAAATACAGATTGCTGTTTTGTCAGTGGCTCAGGGCGGCCCTGCACAGCACACTGAGCAGCAGGTAAGAATGCAGGGAGAGAAGTGTTAAAATCCTTCAAAGGACCCGTGGAGAATGAGTGGAATATGTTGGAGCGGAGGAGGAAGTAAATGAGGATAAATGTAAACATCTGAGCAGCAGTTTGGAGTCGCAGTGAGACAGCGGCTGGTTGAGATGGGAAGCACAGTGGTGCAGTAAACAGTAACAGGTTGTTCATCTCAAATCATCAGGGGCCTTCTGCTCGACCATCTCTGACTTGCTTGAAACTTTTTATTATCATAAACTATGGATCTTTAAAATGGTACTGAAGTTTTAGCTTTATATAGCGAGTACTTGACGAGAAACATTTTCACTGTTATTTCTCATCATACCATTGAGTCAGATTCTGCAATACTGGACACATATCAAGTTATATCTGATCATGGGTGAGTTAAATTATATAAAAAATGTAAGCTGTCATGAAAAGTTCCATCTTTGAACACATGTTAACAAAAGCTGACATGTCACAATAATACAAAAAACATATTTTGCCTGAAGTTTCATCACAGATTGAGCAGGTATGACAAGTTGTATCCCAAAAATATTGCAGACCATAGTTCTGGAGTTTCAAATATAAGATTTTTTAAAAATATGGGCATATTTTTCTTTTAAAGACATTTTATCTTTAATAGTTCATGTGATACTGTTCAAACATAGCCTTAAAATTTTAGTGTGAGAAAAAACAAACTGAAAGTGGGTCAATGGGCCATTTAACAAAAAGTATTGATATGTCAAGCTAGAATTTCACAAATAGCTTTATTTATGCTATAAAAATCTCAGGTCAATCACAGCAGAAACAAAAAAAGAAAAAGAAAAAGATGATTTGAGATGGAATAACCCTAACATAAGAAACACAAATATTAAAAAAAAAAAAAAGAAGGGTTTGTGGGAAACATGATTTTTTTCACAGTTAAAGCAAAGCAGAATTCATCGATAACATCACAAACTATCAGATGTGCTAATAGGAACAAAATTCACTTAATTTCTTTCTGACCCATCCCTGTAAACAGCAAGCCTGGCTCTGAAAATGAGTAATTAACACAATGCATATGGCTTGTTTAATCCACACGAAAGCAGAAATGTGAAATGTGGTTTTATTGGAATATTACTTCTTGGTGAGCAGTGTCGAGCACAGCCAGCTTTAGAGGTGCTGATAGGTGTATTTTTAAACCTGAACAGAGCCATGGCTGGGTAATTTCCCCGGCTCCCAGTTCTGCTAAGCTAATTACCTGCTGGCTCTGGCTTCATATATCACACAGGTACAGCGGTGATATTGCCTTCTTATTTAACTAATTCATTAGTAACATCAACACGGATTACCGTCTGTATGTGAACTCTATGCACACGTTGCGTATTGTTGCTGTCAATAATAATGAATGTGGCTCATGCAGATCATATTTTTAGGAATCTCAGACTTATTATATGAACTGCATTCCTACATGGAACTGTTCACCGCACTTGGATTCGACGAGTAATGCTTTGGAGCATGTAAGAGGTATTTTGACAGCTGGCTCTTAGAATGATAAGGTGTTGGCGGCATATTTGTGTATCGGGGCCGAAGATGTGATGGCAAACCCAAAAAGTGCAATCTGAAAGTTGCCCATTCACCAAAGGTCATGTCTAGGAGGTTTTTAAGGTCATCTACATCACCGAAGACCAGCGCCGTACCATTGAGGTCATTGCTTTTCACAATATCGATGTACTTGCTGGTGTATTCCATCCTCTCCAACTGTGAAAAAAGAGAAAATATGAGATCATGATTATATCACTTCATCCTTGCTGATAAGAATGAACTGATATAAACACAATTTTGATTTGCACTATGGTGTGAAGAGAATAAACACATAACGCTGAATAAATACACACTGCTTCGTAGCAAAGATTTACATGAAATTTATGGATGTTTTTCAGAAAAAAAAGCTATTCACTGTGCTCACAATCAGCATGAACTTCTTTATAAAGTAATGTTAACTGCTAGTGTTTGTTTTAAACAGCCTACCCCATCCTCAGGGTTGACTGTTCTCTCTCTTTCCATCATGTCAGAGTTGTATTAAGTTGCTGTGACGGTTCATCAGAAATGTGTCTACAAAATGATCCATGTTTATTTTCTGTGTTTTTTGACAGCCAATGAGTAATAGAACTATAAAGGGAGCTGTTAGTCGAAGAGCTACAGGCGACAAGCTGCACAACTTTAACTTCTCAGCAAGGTAAAACTTCACTGTACCTTTGTGCTGTGTAGAAAAGCACTTTCACTGTGTGAAAGTCGGATTGCGATTGCTCATGGCATGATGGAAAAAGGCCAATTATTGACTATTACAGCATGAATTTTCTTGGCTTCCTTATAAAAGGTGCACTTGCTGTTATGTTGTATTTTCTGCAAAAAGCTTCTCGACAAACTTTAACTGTATTATTAAGCCACACTTGTGGATACCACCAGTAACCACTGGTGTTGCCAAATCAGCCACGATTGAAATCTGAAAGATTCTAACTTTAAAAAAGTTCTTACCTCTTTACACACATCCTCTGTACTCATTTTGATGATAGTTGTGATTGGCAGAGGAGCGAGGTCCCTCATCCAACCGGAATCTTTCAGCCTGGCTGTCCCTCTGATCTGAGCCAGCTCCCTCCTAATCGAATGATCCAGGTTCACTGTTGCTGCTTCAAACATCTTCAAGTCGTTCACAGTGAACTGGAAATCGACTTTGAGGAATTTTTCAAACATCTCAGGATCTCCATCCTGCTCAAGGAGGTCCTCAATCTGTGTGCTCATCACATACAGCTCTGCCCGAGACCCACGGAAGACATCCCATAAGGTCTTTGAGTTGTCCACGCCTAGGACATTGTTATGATCAATATCTGCCCTCTGCTGAGCATCTTCTACGCACTGGATAATCCAGCTGAGCCGGCAGGGCCACTGATTGGCTAAGACCACCCATGCTGCAATGCGTTCTGGTTGAGGAAGCTCTTTCTTCAAGGCCTTCATGATTATCACAGTTACTTGAATAGAGTTGATGACCCTCCTCATCGACATGACATCATCTAACATGTACTTGTTTAGGTTCCTTTCATTGCTGGTCAGAATGCTCCAGACCAAATTCTTTACTTCCTCCTCCTGTACATCCAGTGGTGCTGTATTTCTATTGATCAGTGGATTTGTCTCCTTCGTTTCTGATGCAACCTCCACTAAAGGGACATTTGAGAAAGATGCATTTCTTTTGTGTTTACCTTCCCTTGAGGAAGAGTCCTCAAGGATTTTTGAAGTGCTAGAGAGGCTGTAAAATAAATTGCGCCTCGAATCATCGCACAGCGGTGGGACCGTGAAGGCCAGAGTCACTATGCGGTTCAACAGTGCATAGGCTCTGTCCTCTTTGCTGAAGCAGCCATCTGCAAAGTTCACTTTCTCTACAAGAACCTGGGGGTTTACTGCAAGAATGGAAATAAATGGGCTATCCTCATCTGAAAGCAGAATGTTGATGGCATCCAGGACTGCAACAATTTTCTTGGGAGAGCAGCGGTCGAGACTGGTGATGTTTAGCACTACTCGAATCCTTCTCCTCTCAAACACCTCCATAAACTCGATGAAGCGAGTCAAAAGCCACATTTCCTTTCGGACCTCATTCAAAAAGCCCAGTTGGCTGCTGATCCGTTCGTTGTCCATCCCCCTCTTAATGTTCAGCTCCTGGCTAAAAATGAGGTTCTTGCCCATCATGAAGGCAAACCTCAATGCACTGGCTGCAGGGACTCCTAATGCAGCAATGATAAGGCCCTCCAGCACACCCACCTGGCCATTTGTTGCAGTCTCCGTCCCGTTTGGTTTCACCTCGGTTTTGGGGAGGCCAAATGTCAACCCGAACACCAGGATGATAGCTGGTATCACAAGAATACACAAGACGAGTAACCACAGCGGGCAGCAGCAAATCTTCTTAGTTCTCCAATGATCTGGACCATCCTTTACAATCTGATTTGTTTATAAAAACAAAACACAGGCCAAAGGAAAAACAGGTGAGACAGTACTGTATTTTTTTTGTATGTGATTCTACAAATGGTAAATATTAGTTAACATGCTGAACAGTCCCAAGGTTAAAATATGTCTTTTCAAGTGACTTTGGCTTAATAGGTTGGCAGCAAATTTCATACAAACAATTGTGGTTGTCAGATAATGAATGCTATTGACTCTGGAGATATTCTTATTTCTGTCTACCATCACTACGATAAGGTTCACATTTTTGGTTTCCTGAAATGGTGAACTATCTCCACAACTACTTCTATTTTCCAGTTAGCATCAGCTAAAATAACTTTGGTGACCCTTTGTTTTATGATGTAACTTTCTTCAGTACATATTTATGTCAATAATTTAATATGGAAAGATTTTGAGGATAAAAAGCACTTTATGATGTTGAACTTTAACAATATTCCCTTTATAAAACCCAACAGTGATGAGCTTTTGCAGAAACAGTTTCCTGGTCACAAAAAACATACCACAACAGACAACAGACCACTTTTCATTGGGACTGGTTTTCTACAAGAGCTTAAAAAGCCTGGATATGAAAGTTTAGTTATTGCCAAACCAGTGTTAGCACATTATCTAACATCCTTAACATGCTGTTAGCATGGCTGTACAGTCACAGTTTAATAAAGGAAAAGTTTAGATGATTCACAGACCTTCTGCTTGACTTCCTCCTCTTCATCGTATTGAGCCACACGGTAAAGTACAAGTTGTAATTTCCCAAAGCTCAATTGCATGGCCTGAAACAGCCGTATGGCTATGCCCGCCCAAAGCAGGTCACTGCCTGCAAAATGCCAAGCACTAAAGTGCACATAAATGAACCTGACGTTGTGGTGCTGCTGGTTCTCTTTTGTCCAAATTGGCCTGTAGAAGAGCAGTCGGCCAAAGAGTGCTAGAAAGTCAGTAAATGAAGGCTGAACTGAGCGAGGCCTGGATCTTCCTTTATATTCCTTTTCAATCCTCAAAGCCTCCTGGTTCATGTACACTAAGGACACACAAACATCCAGGGTTATTTACATTCATCATTTAGGTGGTTGAGGTGCACATAAGGGTGACATAAATTCAAGGCAGAAAGATAACAAGACATGTAAACATGGAAGTGAGTTGGCTGGGATGTAAAAAGGACAAGAAGTGGAAGATTTTTATACTTTTTTTGTTAAATATAATATCAACAATTTTGTGGTTTTTGCTCATTTGGCTCCCAACAGTTGACAAAATGCCCTGGAGCGTGGCACGAAACCAAAAGCTGTTACAGGGAGAAGAATCAGTCTGGCTCTTTTGCAGAAAAAAAACATTGTCACCTGAAAAGACCAGATGCACAATAAACAGTGAAAAATATAGCATTCTTGAATAATAGTGTTTATTATCCGCCTTGCAACATTTTGAAGCTTTATTCATTTATTCTGCAAGCACCAAGTCTGGTCCAACATGTGCGATATATCTGCCAAGGTTGAAATAAAAAATGGTCACGACAGCCTTACACGGCAAGACCGTCAGAGTAACAAAAAATAACTTGTCTTTTCAATTGGAGACCTTCACTACATGCTCCATTCAGTCTGTTCAATGCCACACGTCTATTAAAAAAACACAAACTACATCTTCATGCGGGAGTTGTCGTATGTTTTGCGTGCAAGGTTGCGACTTTCTAGCATGCTTTTCTGAAAGTTCCCAAAAATGTGTTTCTTGTCCTTAAATGTTTATGCTGTGCATGTTTGATCATTATTTATATATGTGTGTATATATATATATATATATATATGCAGACATTGGCTTTAACTGTAATTAAATACTGCAGATTTATTTGCTTATATTTACTCTGTCAAACTGATAATGAGGGGATTGTTTAGACACAGTAGCATTGCTGCCTTTTTAATTACTACACATGGGATAAATGTGCACCTTTTATTTACCCCCTGCAGTGTTTAGGAAACTTTTATGTATACTTTGGGACACAGAGATCCTCCAGAGGCCTGCAGAGCATAAATACAATGTCCACTTTCAGTAAGTTGTGAAGACATGATTAAAGCCTGAGCCAGCTCTGTGATGGTGCACAGTTGATTTACATACTAGGAAGTAGCTCAGCTATTTTGCTGCAGTGACTAAATCACCTTCCAAAATTAAAATTCGGAAAGGGTATAAAGGCACATGTTTTAACATTGTGTCACTATATTACTGTAAGCAACTACAATAGTTATACATACACCAATCATGCTTACAGCGAACACTGCAGACACTGAAAATAGAAACTGCGTCATAAACACTGTTTGCATGCAAATCATCAGAAGTTGTTTTTGTTTAAAAAATTATTGCTTTTTTTTAGCTGAGCATCCTGCAGCTCCCACCCACAGACTGAATATCGTCACAGGGTTTGAGCGTCTGAATAGGAAACAGCAAGCTGGACCAGTTAAACTGTTTATATACCTTCCATTTGTTCCAGAATCATGTTTAGTCGATTCTGACATGAAGAGTAGAGTCCTACAGTTGCAGGTGATGAAACCTTTGTCAGGGTCTTGGACAGGGCGTACGCATAAATGTCATCTGAAAGCAGATTTAGGAGGAAAAAAAAATCAGCATTGCTAACTCATTATACATTTCCATTTTACATCCACGCAAATTTAGCTGATGTGCAAACCCCAGAAAGCCCCCTGGATAAGTCATAAAACCTTAAAAATAAGCTAAAGTTGAAAGACTATTGACATACCTGTTTATATAGTTCATTTACATTCATAGTGAAACTGAGAAAACAGGATCTCAAGTAGACATGCACGCATGATTAATTATTACAGCAAAACCTGTTTTTGTTTTTCACTTCAGTCATGCTGAGATGAGCTGAGCAGTGCAGGTGGATGACAGGTGTTCACATTCAAGTATTAAAAGGTGAGCATTTTCAGCCTATAAATACACCACTGATTGTACTCTTAGATGAGCATCGAGAAGCATTTACATCTTCAATGGATGAAAAAGTGAACTATAAAATATTCTTTTACACATTATTTCCTGTATAATTTGTAATATCTATAGGATATAATCTTATCACATGTGACTCCAGCACCCACAATTATCATTGAAATCATCACAAGTCATTTCACAGATGAAGACTCACTGGCTGTTGCATACACAACAGCGTAACACCTGCAGCTGCACCATGTGGTGACGCCCAAGGTTTGGTTTTATAACAGCAATTAAGTGTTGTCTGATGCAAACTTTAATACAGACTGCAGGAGCCTCTGAATAATTAACTGCTCAAGTAGCGCACAGGTGTTGATGGTAGGTCAGAAAAGACAGTCAATCAGTGGATTACAGAGTTGGGATACATGTGTGAAAAAAATTACAAATGAAGACGTGAATCAACCAGTTGAATAAAACCTATTAGCTGCGAGTGCGATGTGATTAAATCAGTAACAAACCATCTGCAATTAGCACGTATACTTATAAAGAAAACTGTAGTGACACTGAAATATAAACTCATATTACAAAGATTCAAGGCCAACAGCTTGCTGAACACTGAACTGAACACAAATACAAAACAACATCATCAACAACAGCAGCAATAACAGAAAATAAAAAATATTAAATACTTAATTCATGTGGCCCAGGGGGGCATTATTTCTGTCGAGCGTGGCTAAACAATAGAAGCTGGAAACACCACTGATTTAGACATTAGTACACATATTCACAGAGGGTGTCAGTGAGAATTTCAATAGCAAAGTGAAACCAAAAGTGTGAACAGAGTCTTTCAGAGGAGGAGAGAGGAGCTGTGTCACTGACACAGATTACCTGCAGATAACTCACCTTTTGTTGGCTCATTCATGATGACTGTGTGATGGGACACGCAGCTTTCACCGAAAATACCTGCAACCTGTGAAGAATGAATAACTGAGATCTCAGTTCAGTGAAGGTGTGTCTGTGGTTGTGGGTGTTGAGCTACAAGTCCCTCCTTGCTTTTCACTGTCACATCTTTTTTCCATCATTAACACCTAAATATCTGCGCAGAGAGATATAATCAGTCATGATGTTCTGTTGGTATAATTTGCTGCCACTCTCTGATAAAGCTTCGCGAGGGTTTATAAACTGAGATTAAGGATTTATTAATAGTTAATGCATCATTGACTGATGTTTGCAGTTTGTTTAGAAGTCATTATTAAAATTGTGAACAATCCTTGCATTGCTTGTGTTTTCATTGAGCTCTTTGAGCCACTAGGGAGACCAGTGAATCTTTTGTCTGCCTACTTTCTGTAAAAGGGCTGCAGAACATCTGGGCCACAAACGCTTATCAGCATTTACAACTGCAGACTTGATGAACTGTGGAACCCATAATTTTTTAGCATTTTTAACTACAGTTGATTTTAAACCCTAAAACTTATTAGGAAGTATGCAACAATAAGTGGTTTCTTGGTTTGCCAACATGTATAACTGCAAAATCGCTGACTAGAAACACACAGCCACATTATTAATAAAACATTTCACTTTAACGGCACACACTGATGCAATAGAGACTTAGTTAAAGCAATAGAATGGGAATTTCTTAACTTATATATTTAATAAAAACAACCCTTTGCGCCAACGCTTCATATTTACTGTGCCGTTGTCACAACATTTATGCTACTTGGAGCTAACCCAGTGATAGGGTGAAATTAATTTACATATCAGAAATGTATAGTGATATAAATGCTAATATAAGCCCGAAGTGCATCATCACTATTGTTACTTCAGCTCTGTAAATCTTTAACCAGTGAGTGACTAAGTGTATATCATATCTGGAGAGCAACGGTTTCCTGCTTCCAGTGAGTAACCTCAATGTAAAACTCCTGATCTGACAGTTTTAATGCAGCACACTCAGTTTAACTTAATGATTTTCTGTTTAAGAACTGTTTGTTTTTGTGCTAAGCACCACTGGAGCTGAATGGAGAGACGTGGAGTCAAAATGCTTGAGAGTGCTGACTCAGCCATCTCCCCCGCTAAAGAAAAACCAAAAAAACAAAAACACAGAGAAAGAAATTTTAATTCAGTAACACTGTGATTTTGTGAGTGTTGATTGACAGGCATTTAAGTGAGCTGTTTTAAGGTGACATCCTGACGTTCATGTGAGGGTAAGAGCCTTCCCATGAGCTCAGGCTGTTCTGTTTTTATGTGCATAGAAATGTCAACCGTTTAGCTGTGTCAATGATTACCATTACGTAGTCCCTTTCCCTGCCGGCAACATATTTCCTGCTCCTGTTCTTGCCTGTACTTGCCCAACAAACTCAGACTGGCTGTGCAAAATAGAGTTTTACACAGAGACTTTTATGTGTGGTAAAGTCTATGTTTAACTTTCATGGAATAATCTCTGATCAGTGAATACAATACTACAATAAAACTTCTGCAAATATGACTCCCATAAAATACACACTGATATGTTATTACTGCATGGCAATGTGTTACTGGTGAAACAAGCTTACCTGGTTAGCTTCAAATGTCAGTTGTCATGTTGAATCTCAACTCTTCCGTGCCCCGTAAACAAAGAGGATCATGCAGCAGCAGGAGCTAAGGTGTGGTGGACCCTACACCACCAAGACTTCAGTGCTGTAAACCTTTACAACACTGATAAGAGGAAGGAAAGGCACCTGATAACCTGTGTGTTTGTGGGCTGGACACTTTCGTGGAAGTGAGGTCACATACAAGAATACATTATTGCAAGATGAAGCTGTACATCTCTCCCATTCTCCTTCTCCAATCCCCTCTCTCCTGCTCCCAATCTTCTCTCTATTCACAGCATCTCAGTGAAGTGGGTAGTTCCTGAAAGCATTACAAGGTAGAAAAATCCCCCATTCTTGCTGTAGCTGCTGGCGTTAACTATCCAACTTTTTCAGTCCATGGAAAAATGTAACAAATGAGTGATTTCATGCTGGAGCCATGGGTCTGCATGATTCATTAAGTGAATTCCTCGTTTTGGAGTCCCTCAGGTTGAGAATGACTGGATTGCTCTGGCTGGTCTGAACTGACATGCAAAGCAGTTGATGCCAAAGCAGCAGCACCAAAGCTTTTTGCCTGCAGTAGGATTTGTTGTGACATAACTGGTTAGTCAAGCTTTGAAATGCAAGCTAGGAGTCTAATTTCCCCTGGCATATTTTTTTTTTTTTTGTATTAGCCTACTTGTACCATCTGGTGTTGCGGTATACTTCATGACACAGGTCCTTCACAAAACTACAACAACTGCAGTTTGCATTTAAATCAGAAGTGACAGTTTTTAATACATACATACATACAAGTTGCATTTAAAGCATGTGCAAGGTCATTATTCATGTGAATCGTAATTGAAAGTGAAAAGATATTGCATTAAAGCTATATTTTGCAGACAGATATCAATTCACAGCTCTTAAAGTATAAAATACAAAGGACAAGCTGGTGTGAACATGCAGACGGGTGCTAAATTAAAGGGAGAAGCATTCAGGAATGCTTGACCTCTACAGTGATGGGATCTGGTGGCCTCTGTTATGCTGTGAGGGACATTTTCTTGGCATAGTTTGAGTCCACTTGTCCACTCAAAGGAAAGAGGTCACTAAAAATGAGCACACAGTTAAGCCGAGTGATCAACTTTGTCCTATAATAAAACATTTCTGCCTTGATGGGAGTGCAAAATGAAATGAATTATGCACTGTGGCCTTCGCAGTCACCAGATCTCAACCTAATTGAAAACCTTTGAGAGATTTTGGGCCGATGTGTTCTCCACCACTATCACTAAAACACCAAATGAGGGAATATCTTTTAGAAAAATTGTGTTTCATCCCTACAGAGTTACAGACACTTGCAGAACCAATTCTAAGGAGCACTGAAGCTGTTCTGGTGGCACATGATGGCCCAACACCTAACTTAGACACTAAATGTTGGCTTTTGCCTTGAATTCGTTTCCATTCTGAATGTATACTAACACACGGCTTTGTGCGTCCATTTATATTATGGTCTATAACCACTGGCTGTAAAAGAAGGTTAATTTAATGGTAAAGGATTGTTAAAATTTATTTTGGATTAGAAGAAGATCTGAAAAAAAAAATAAAAATTTCATGTTCTGTTGCTCTATGTAATGATTGAGGGGTTACATTTATTATTATTATTATTATTTTTTTTTTAGCAAAATGTCTGGACGAACGTAATTTGTCAGAATCTTCCTTGTAGCAGAGTTCATTTGTTGACCTTCAGATAAAGGACAATTTAATGTTACATGTAAAATGTTATGGTCTGATATTTTAAAGCTGCACCAGTATTACTGAGGCTATGTGGGAAATTACATGTTCATGAAATGATAAATTACGCCATTTAACTTCATGTTCTGTAAACATTCAACTTGAAGTCGACTTTTTTTGGGATCACAACCAAACATTCGGTGTCAGCACTGTATACAGCATCACACACAAGCATCTGAGAGCAAAATACTCAATACTTTAGGCTAGTTGCTGAAATGAAGTTTAATTAGTGCATGTCTGATTAAGATTTAAAGTGTTTGGCCCGAGGGTGACTAATTCTGTCTTTACTCCAAGTACCTGATTGTTCAACTTCTTTAATTAACTTGATTGTCATAGAGAGAGTGAGACTGTGTGTGTGTGTGTGTGTGTGTGTGTGTGTGTAAGGCGTAAGGTGTAAGAGAGAGAGAGAGAGAGAGAGAGAGAGAGAGAGAGAGAGAGAGAGAGAGAGAGAGAGAGAGAGACAGTTCTCAGTTTGGCTAGAAGTCTTTTGCAAATCAATACCGAATGAACTGGATGTTATCTCACTTCATACGTACCCGCACCACACCTTGCCCTTTCACCACATAAACTGTGCAATTAAGGTTAATGAATTCACCTTCATGATTAATCAAAGATAGGCATCAGACATAGATAAATTATGTTCCAGATTTGGGCAGAATTGGAATGATTTTCTGCTAAAGGCAAGAGGAAATTAAACTATTATTGTAATATTTTAGGTTCAGGGGATGGGAGCCGTGCTCTGGCAGGAGCTGGTCTGAAAATGTGCACACTGAAGAACGTTTGTACTATCTGGGATGCATAAACAGATGATGTGAGGTATTTAAAACAAAATCATCTAACACTCCAACAGAGGGTGCTAAAGTATTGTGCATGGAAGCAGGGCAATGACATTTGATCAGTAGCCCTTCATCTCTCCCTCGCTGCTCTATTTGGTATGTAGAAGCAGACGCGACAGTAAAGGAGGCATTTACTGAAAATGGGGTGCGGTCGAGGGCTTAAGATGTGCAAGAACTTCTTGTGGATGGGGTGATGGTCATTTAATGTAAATCAGTAACTGCAGCGCGCAGGACACACACACACACACACACACACACACACATGCTCACACACTCACGCTCACACACTCACAGCAATATCTATCTGCCTTTATTCCTTATCCATTCTTCCTAAGGGCAGACAAGCTTCAGTATTGACACACAGCCTGACACCAGCTTGGCCCTGGCCCAGCTTGCCTGGCCTAATTGGCCTCAAGACCTCTTGTTGGTGTGATCTATTGATCAGTCTCACTGCAGATGCTGCTAAGTCACAGGCAGAGGACAGAGAAATAGCCAGATATACTGAAAGTAAGCACTGCCAAATCTGGGCATGATGTCTTAAGCTTTGCTGTTCCCTCTGCAGAGCTGTGCAGCAAGCAAAGATGATAGGGTCTTCACCCTGAGGTGCAGAGGTCCAGATTCTTGCCACAAGCTGATTCACACACACTGATTGTCCTTTATTGTTACCAAGGGGATGATGGCACCAACAAATGGAGGTTTCTGAATGCTGTGACCCCCAAAGATCTATAGACACAGTCTGCTTTAACAATCCCACCAGAGACAGCGAGATGAAAACTCCTCTATACTCGCAAAATCCACTTTTTCTTTGAAACCTCTGCGGCAAATATTAGGAGAAAAAAAAAGGCAGCAATGAGATTGCCACTGAAGAGCCCTTCTGGGGCAGGGGTGAGCGAAATGGTATGCATGCTGATCTTGTATCTATCAGTGCAAACATCCTATACATGATTATTTTTCCCTGCACCTTCAACCTCGTTTCTACTCACATTCAGATCCCTGATCACATCATCTCATTCTCATCTATTTCCATTTTGACTTCGTCTCCTCATCGCCTCCCTTCTCAAGCAGTACAGCTATTTCAATGTAAATAGTGTCTGTGCTTATCTGCCTCTTAATCCTCCTCAGTCATTCTGTACAGACTTCCTTCAACTCCCTGCAAAACTCATAAGAGAAACATGCATATGTTTATGAGGCCTGCCACACAATGTGTCCTTCACTACCTCATAAAAGGCAATACATTCTTCTTTATGTGCAGCTCAAATTTCCTATTCTCTACTGTGTGTGAGAGCTACATTCCCATATGGTATTACATTTATGATGCATGACAAGGCTTACAATTCTCCATCTCCTCTGCAGCACGGTGCAAGTAACCAGAGCTGTCCAAAAGTCATGGCTGTGACAACGGGGATCATTATACATTTTTCTTTCTGTGCGGCTGCCTCTCTGTATTCCTCTCCACGCCTCCATGAAATCTGTCTTTATCCTGCCGTGAGAGAGTATAGCTACCAGGTGCACACTGAGCCCTTCTCTGGGTGGTGGTGTTGGAATGAGTGTCCACTCTAGGACCTTTTCACCAACACGCAAACTTACACGCATGTGTGCACACATTGCCGCCAACCTGCTGATCCTGCCTCCTGTTTTATTGTCAATATCAGTTGGCTCAGGGGTTGTAGGGTTGACGGCTGTTGACAGGGGCTGGATTGTGGAGGTAAAGATGATGGCAGCTCTCGCGGAGATAGAATAGCTGTATCTTGAGACCTCTTGGAGGGTGTTATTAGGCTGTTATGAAATCTGCTCCCTATCAGACCTTCACTGAAGCAAGGGGGAGGATATAGCCAGATGCAGTGAAAAATACAAGTGTGGACTCTCTCCTTTCCTCCTATAGCTTCCTGTTATCTACCCCTCTACTTCCTTTCGCTCGCACACAAACACACACATTTCTCTGTAGTATCGCCCCACCTGTACCTGTGTTTTTCCAGTCAACATAGCATCCTGCAGTTTCCCTGCACACTTGCACAAAGGAATTGCTTTATCATATAAGAAATGGCAAGGCATGCTGCATGCACTGCATCATGACACCAAGACCTGCTGTCGGGCTGCACCAAAGCTGCTGTCAGGATACCTGAACACACACAGATCATTCCAGGACATCAGTGCGAGAAGTGCTGGAAAACTGTGTAATGCATCTGGCATTCAAGTGCAAACAAATACACAAAAAACAAGGAACACATGTACTTTACACAGCATGGCAGGAGAGCGCAAACATGTGCGTGACACTTATCATGCTACCGAGGTTTGTGTATCAAACAAGAGATCAAACAGCAAAATGAGTTGTGAAGAAAAAATTGATATTTTGAGTGTATCCATGGCACAGAGGAGCAAACATCAACATTCAGGTGATTTCACCTGTAAGCGTCTGTTCTTTTGTGTTTAACTTTACAACATG